TCCAATTTAGTAGCTTTAAATTTCTGCCAAAGTCTTTTCTTAATCTTGATAGCCTTCATTAGTTCACGTTTAATCCATGGCTTTTTCGGATTAACCTTATGGATCTTTAGTTTCTTTGCTGGTAGTTTGGGAGCTCGTCTAACGAATTTGTGGGTAGTATTGTAGTAACGTTGCCGTTACTACAATACTACCAGTGCCTCCCCTGGAAAAAATGACTATTAATTTTTGTTTTAATATCTGTTAACTTCAAATATATTTTAAAGATATAGCAAATAACTTTTATGGAACACTGTGATTTATTAAAACGCGTCTTGGTAACATATTTTGAAGTACGCGCTTTCGACGGGAATAAGCGCTGATCATCGCCGTGTAGGCCAGCTTCAGACGGAGGCATGCCTCAGATAGACGGATATCTTCAGAATGATTAGTCAGTGGTGCTAATATGTTTTTGAGTAAGACAATAGTCATCAGTGCTTTATCAAAGCGCGAGCGGAGGCACCAACGCCTACCATCCTTAAGCCAACCAGATCGAATTTTTTAATCTCACGGTGAAACTGCACAATGCTGAACAGGGATGCTGAATGCATTTAGAGTGCATTTAGTTGTGCATTAATTAGACGCGAGGAAAGGTGTTCACTGCATGTACATTGCCAAGGTTATGTATTAAAATTTTTAAGTTAACTTGAAAGCAGTAGGACAATGAAAATGTCAGTTTTGCAATGCTGATAGGAACATAAGAATCTATAATCTCCAGAATTTCTTATAAAGGTTAAATATTTAAGCACGGTTTTCTTACGACGAACAATTGTATGTTAAAATTTTAGAACCTCTCATTCAGATTTGAGCAGAACTTTATTAATTAATTGATTAATATATTTAAATTAGCCCTAGACCATATGAATTAATATTTAATGCTAATAACGCAAATTCTGTAGTCTTTAAACCTTCTTGTTGGTTTGTGTGAAGCAATTAAATGTTTTTTATTCGAGAAGTGTACCCATATAGAATAGAGATATTATGTTACTGACTCAGAGCTATTTGTATTGTTTTCATAAAAAGGAATAAACAATCTGTCTTCTAACAAAAGTAATTGCCAACATGTTAATTAATACCTGCTGATTTTGAAACGAAATTGTTGCCTCACCTAATGAAAAGACCACGAGCCGCTACTGCTTTCCATAGTATCAAAGTGTGACCAACATCTCCCTTGTGAGAGGAGTGAGGCGCGAGAGGTTTATTGCACCGCAGTGCAGTGGCTGACGAATTTTACTTTCATACAATTTCAAGAAAAACAAAAAATATTGATTTTTAAACAAAATGTGTGGTTAATACACTTCCCACACGTTCGCGTATATGGTCTTTGGAAAGATCCACTAAAATCTAGAACACTGACAATTGTATTAAAACTAATGGACACCTGTAAAATCTAGTTCCGCCACTAACTCGCTCAACCGCTTATCCGTCAATTCACGAACGTGTGCGAACCAGAGATACGTAAAAGACTAGATACAGATATTTAATCTTCTCGTGGACATACGTCAAGGGCCACTATACGTTTATATCTCTTTCTTTTTCTCTAGCAGGTATAATGGTAACCCGATGTCTGAAGCTCTTACTCTGTACGCCGCAACCAATCAGTTGATGCCGTTCTGTGTTTGTGCCGGAACCTGTCAGACTGTGGGTGGTTATGATTTATTTATAACTGCCGCCATTAGAACGGGCCAATAACAAGACAAGCACTTGGCAATCTATAGTACCGGTTCTGATATAGAAAAGGATAGACGACACAAAGTATTGCTATTCTTAGATCATACATGTTGGCCCCAGATCGGGAAAGCTATGACCACATCTACATATCTCTGGTACGAACACGATACGAACAGCAGAGAGGGTTTGTATATGTGCGATACAAAACAATGAACCCAATACTCTCTCATTACATTTAAACCTCCTTGGGTGCTACCACGCGGTAACCATTAAGGCTACCTAGGTTAAGTTTATTTTGGTTTGGTAATTTCATAAAGTAGCCTTTGTTTAAACGAAACTTAATCGCACCGACGCACAGTGAGTCAAAATTATGAAAAATAAACATCTGTTTTTCTAAACAATATTACCTGTTCTAGACGTCCAAATGTTTGAGAAATTATGTACCATTAGTTATTGCTGGTTGTAAAACTGTTTACATTGTCTTTAATAATTCACATTAGAGATGTAATCAACAGATTTGTTCGAACTGGCAGTGTCAACAAAGAGAAATCCCGTGGAAGACCTTCAGCATCTGAGGATGTTGTTTATGATTTGAGACGACTTGAGCAGAATCCGCAAACATCTTTGACACAATTTCCTCAGCAGTGAGGAGTTGCTGTTACAACATGAAATGGGTCCAAAACATTTACGAAAGCATGTTAACACATAACATTTTTGAAATTAAAAACAGAATTAACATGTGACTTGAAGAAAATTATGAACATTTTCAATATTTACTGTGATGTTTAACCGCAATAAATTTGTTTCTTTTTATTGTAATGAATTAGTTTTATTCTTTAAAATGCTATGCAGCATTTAAGCAACCAGTTATACAGATGCGTGTGGTCTTTGTCATGCGTCCTTGCGCATTTTGTATAGTTCAAATCTGAAAAGCACGTTTACATGACCTACTGCGACCCTATAATCATTTATACAAACCCTTTACTTCAAAGCACAGTATATTTCAAGGTGAGTACTTTTTCACACATAATTATGTTGTAGTTATTGTTTGAACCTAGGCCGTCATTTGAAGAAAGCAGCGAAACAAAGAAACGAAGGAAGTCGTTACATTAAATAAACATATTATTAAGAGAGAGAGAGAGAGAGAGAGAGAGAAAGAGGGAATTTTTCAATTTGAAGTTTTTCATTGTTTGCGTTTTCAACTATTCATGCTTTTAATACAATTTGGTGGCAATAATGGATAGATTAATGTAAACATACGTGCCAGACATTGACTGATGCAGACTTAATTTGTATTAATAACAATATAAAAAATTTTGGATGATTTTCCCTAAGTTATATTATGCTTTGGTAGCATTTAAAATTAACTTTAAATATTGATCCCTTCTGGAAAGAAAGAACATTGAAAATTAATCACATAAATTAATATCATCGTGAATTCGAAGCGGGGAATGGTATTTTCCACTTTTGTTGTGTTTTTACTCATGTGGGTTTGTTTTACGATCTAACTTTGAACACTAATTCTTGTGGCCACGTGTGTACGGAAACCAACTTATTTTGATTTCTCTGTATTTAATATGTGTTCGATCCTTCGATGTTCTTTGTGTGTAAGATCCTTTAAAAGTTCAGTCAAAAAAGCTCAAATTATATTGTGTCACTGTTTTTTGTTTGGTGTGAGTAAACACACACGCGATAAGGTAGCTAGATGAAGTTTAGTTGGTTTGGTAGTTAAAAAAAAACGAGGAAGCCTTTGTTTAACGAAAATAAATCGTACCTATGGCGACGCCACAGTTTCCCCAACAAACGTAACTAATTCTTGCTGCTTTTCTAATCTTAAATATGTGAATTTTCGACCGACGTCAATACGTGGTGTAAATTTCATCTATTGTTTGTAAATTTACAGTTCAGGTTAGGATTTTAATCGTTAACTGGTTTTAACGCAATTTAACAGTCATGAGATTGTTCAGACAAAGCACTTGCTAGATTTCATGGGATTCACTTAGTCGGGACTCCTTTGGTTCTCAAGTTATAAATAAGATTTCTGGATGCTTATACTTAAGTGTTTCATTATAACACTTCTTACTTCCTTACACAATATTGCTAGTAGTTCAAATGAACTACTAGCAATAAATACGGCAGTTAAAATCCACCTAACGTTGTCCTACTTTGGGAAAAGGACCATGCAAAGTGCGGTAGAAATGTAGAATGTATAATATCGTGGACTGAGGGACGGGGGGATTAAATTTTTCCCCTTGGGCAGTTATCACCTGGACATCAACGAGACGTAATTCTCGCAACGAAGAATGCATTTTGTGTTTATTTATTATGTGTTTGTTTGGGATATACAGGGGACAGTCCATGATATAAACTCTCAAAGCTAAATATTTTTAACTAACCAGTCACTTGGATCAAGGCATGTAAACTCTTTGTTTGAATCGTTGATAAAGTGTGGCATAATTTAACATCATGTAAATTCTTTGTTTAATCGTTGATACAGTGTGGCATTATTTAACACCACGTAAATTCTTTGTTTGAATTATTGATAAATGTGGCAAATATTAACCTCATGTAATTTTGTTAGCTTTGCAATTTTTCGCCTCATGCAATTTTTCTCTATATCACAATTTTTGCCAAAGTAATTTTCTTTGCTATATAATTTAAATCACGTAATTTTTTTTGTCTGCACAAGTTTTATTTCACACCAATTGCTAGTTTGTTGACCACGTAAATATTTTGTTGACTATTGTTTCCATCATATAAATTGTCTGATGCCCAATCTTAATCTCAGATAAGAATTATTTGCTGTTTAAAATTTCACGAGACTGTATGGCGAATTTAAATGTTGTTTATTGCTCCTTTTGAAACTTTAACACTTATTCGGTTGTAGTTTAATATCAGAGTCATTGAAAGTGAGCATTTAAATGGAATTGAGGTAAATAACACAGAAACACGTGGCAGAAGCGGAGGGCGTGGTTCCTAGTAGAGCTGGCGGGATTTATCGCGCCATCTGCACAAAAATCGCGAATCTTGAATAAAAGTTAGGAGAGGGGTCGGGATGACATGACGCTCGCGGCTTGTCCCAATAGCCAGGATTTCCAACCACGAGTTTGCGACCGTACCGGCCTGTAAGCGCGGAACGTTTCTTCGTTAGATAGAGGGATGCTAGGCGACATGTGCTTGTCGATAGAGTAGAATCACCGTCGTGGTAGGAGAACAGCCACAACCAGGAGTCCCAAACTCCGCTTCGACAAGGATTTTGTTCGTTTTTAATATGAATGAATAAAAATGCTGCATTATAAAAATACATATTTATTTCTTCATTAACTTATAAATATAGAAATATAAAGCACAATCCCAATGTAAAATCACACGCACGCACGCACAACGTCATCAATTTTCCCTCTCCAACATCAAGAGCACATTGACCATTTCGGGCCTATTTTTCGCGTTCGAATGCACACACCCCCGGCCGATATTGACAATTTTCCTGTAATAACTCTCTCCCCCCGGCGCTCGCGGGTCTTTCAGCTCCAAAATCCGCCCCTCCTCGCACTTCACCACATGGTCCCTCAGGAACTTGTGTTCCCTTTTGGTGGAATAGGCGCTGGCGCCCGTCGCCAGTTCGAACAGCACCACCCCGAAACTATAAGTATCCACTTTAGTCGAAAACTTCCTGTATTTCATGAACTCGTCGGGCAAGTACGGCCTCGTTCCGTGTATCCTCGTGACTTTGACGTATTCACTCGCCGGACCCTCTCTGGCTAGACCGAAGTCACCAATCCGAGGCATGTCGTTCTGGTCCAGAAGGATGTTGGCGGCCTTGATGTCTCCGTGTATGAGGGGTTTGTCTCGGATGGTGTGGAGGAACTGGAGGCCTCGGGCTGTTCCGGTGGCGATCGTGAGTCTCGTGGGCCACGGGAGGACGCGAGAGGGGTCGTGCACGCGGAGGCGGTCTTCGAGTGAACCCCCGGACATGAATTGGTAGACGAGGCAAGGTTGGGGGCCGCCGATGCTGTAGCTGGAATGCGTAATTTATTTACTTATTACTAATTTATCATTCTTATATGTATCGACTTACCCATACAAAGGCAATATATTGTCATGCCTATACGCATTCAGACAGTGCAACTCCGTATTCGACTGCACAATCTGCTGGTAACTGGACTCCGGACTGTCTTCCTTCTTCTCGATCCTCTTAATAGCCACCTGCGTACACTTCCATATCCCCTTGAACACCATCCCGAACCCACCTTTCCCTAAAATATTCGCTTGGTCCCAGTTATTCGTAGATTTTTGTAGTTCTTCATAGGGAATTTGCGGAATGGCTCCTGCCGACTCCATCACGGACGATACATCTGAAACACCATTCGCTTTGAGCCCTGGGGACTTCAGTTTTTGAAGGTTATTCTGTTGAGGGGTGGTTATGTTATCGTCTCGGCTTATCACAGGGAATTGTGGTGGAGCGTTCAAGATTTTTTCGCTCAGAACGTTGGGAGGTGTGGGTACTTCTTTGATCAGGTAGTGGTATTTTGCGTCGATGTAGGGTTTTAGAAGTTTCATGATTTTGTACTGTTTCATACGGTTGAGAACGATGAAGAGTTCTAGAACGGTATGGCCGTAGGTGTCCCATTCATTGAGTAGTTTTTCTGTTGGACAGGTGTTGCTGTCCTTGCAGCGAAGAAGGATGTTCTGGAGTGAAAACAAAAAGACAACGGGTTAAAAATGCTAAAATTGTTTACATAAAAGATAATCTTAAAATATGTATTTAAAATTTTGCACTGATGTAATAAAATAAGATTGTGATGTACTATTTTATTATGTTGTTTCGTTCCTTTAATTGTAATACTAGCGCGTATGATGGTTGTGGTTAGAGTAAATAAGAACTTTACGAGGAGACGCCCTTCGCGCCGCTATCGCTACGCATCCTCACATTCAACACTGTTCATCGAAACCCTCATACTTTAAATAACTGCCATCATTTTCTACACTGTAGCGTTCTGTCAGTATTTAGGCATTGTTAAAGATAGTTCTCGACGTTTAAATCAACAAGATTTATTGCTATTCATCTCAAAAACACATTTTTTTTTAAATGTGTAGTGTAGGTTTTTTTTCACAACAAGAAAGGTAATAACACGATTACTTAAAAATATATTCCACATGGTAATTTCTCGTAGAAAAATAAGGATTTTACAATTAAACTCCGCCCCTCGGCTTACGACGAATAAAAAAAATCATCAGAATTGAGATAGGGCGGGTGGGCGGGGCTACATTTTGCCTTTTTTTTTCTGTGTAGACTTATTTCGGGAACAGCAACTTCAACGTCAACAGTAAGTTTATAAATCCCACTTAAGATTTAGAGAACATTTATTCGGCAAAATTTTAAAATGACGTTGATATTTTGAGGAATAAATAAATGGAACCTATAAAAACATTTTTATTAACGATTTACTATGGTTGTGATAACCTTAAAACGTTTGCAAGATTTGGATTTCATATCATTCAATTTTGCAGTTTCAAAGTTAAATTACAAAATATTCTTACACAATTTTGATTTTTTTTTCCAAAAATCTGGATGCCCAATTCAACACGAATTCATAAATTACAAGGGCCAAAGTACTTATTTTCTAAAATTTAAAAACATTTATAACTGTAAATTTTGGAGACGACATCATCTCGTTGTTGCTGGGATGATTTGACAAATTTGGGTTAATGTTTTATCATCTACACGAAACTCCCAACATACATGAAAAAATTTAATAACAATCGGTCCAGTAGTTTCGGATGCGACCTTAGCTTACGCTCGGGAAGTAAAAATATGATATGAAGTCGTAGTAAAATATTGGGCAGTCGATTTGAAAAAACTAAAATACCAATACATATTTTGAAAGACATTTTTTATTTTTTTTATAAACAGTTTTCTCTTTTGAGAATGTCCCTATCAACATTATTTCAGCAAGGACACATATGTCAATTCCGACACTTTTTTCTCTATTGCTAGTATTTTTTAATCAACCTAATTTTTGTCCATTTTTAAAAAAGAAAAAATCTGATCCCGAATTCCGAATTTTGACATCTATGGAATCGACTGCTGGAAAGAAATTTAGATATACAGGGTGATTCACTAAGTGCGCGTTCATTGACATCTCATTAATGATTGAACATAAAAAAAATTAATAACACACAGCTAGTTTTTTTATGGAACCCCCGTATATATTTCAACATATTCTCTTCCGCCTCTTCTTAGACTTTAAAATCGTAGTCTATTTTTAAAATTCCGATGCGGCGTTGTGACGCTATTCCATTTTTTTTTAGTTTCTACTTCCCGAAACTACTGGACCAATTGTTGTCAAATTTTATATGTATATTAGGAATATCATGTAGATGGTTAAACACTTATTAAAATTCGGCTAATTATCCCCACCACCAATTTAATTTTATAAAATAAGATACTCCTGCACTTGTGTGTGAAGTCGTGTCGAATTTTCACACTAGACATCCAAATTTTTGTAAAAAAATTAAAAACTGTATCAACATCTGAAATCTTGTACATATGTTAAGGTTATTGTAATTATCGTAAATCGCTAAGAAAAATGTATTCGCTTATCCCCTCCCAAAAAATTGATGACGTCATCTCAAAATTTTGCCGAATAAATCCTCTCTGAAATATGCAAAATATTATGACTGCATACTTGTGATTTATTAACGCCCTCATAGTTTTTAGAATTACTTATACTGGGTGACTCAAAAAATTAATGAAAGAGTCAATTTATTTTATTGATTAAATCAGGAACTACACAACCGAATGCTTTGAAATCTTGCAGACGTTTTAAACTTCTATTTTTAAACAAAATATATATTCCCCTCAAAGAATTTATGTCATCTGAAATTTTTATGGAATAAATTAAACCAAAATGTGGACAATATGATAAGTCTATATTTGTGATTTATCATTGCATTAAAAGTTTAATTTTTTATACAGGGTGAGTCATAAAAATTAATGAATGTTTCAATACATTGCATACAATACTGTTATCAATGATAACAGTATAACAAGTCTAAAAGTTGAAAATTCGAAAACCGAAAAATTGCAAACAGAAAAATTCAAAATTGGAAAGCTTCACATGGAAAAAAATGAAAATCAGAACACTGAAAAACCGAAGAATTGAAAAAATAAAGGAAATAAAAAACCGAAATGAAAAAACGCAATTCAAAAAATTTAAAACTGAAAACTCCTGAAATTGCAAATCGAAAAATTGCAAAATGTAAAAACTGAAATATTGAAAATTTGAAAAATCGAAGAACTGAAAAATTTAAAAACGACAAATTGAAAAATTGCTAATCGAAAAATTGTAAAAATAAAGAAAATAAAAAACTGAAACGAAAAATTGCAAACCGAAATATGTAGAAATGGAATATTGAAGAATCAAAAAATTGAAAAAATAAATTATGAAAAGTCAAATAAATGATCAAATTTTAAAATTATATAACTGAAAAACGGAAAAACATAAAACTGTAAAATTGGTTTTTAAAACTCTTTCATTTAATCGATTTTTCAGTTTTTCGATATTTAATTTTTCAATGTCTCGACATTTAATTCTTTCGTTTTTGCCTTCAGCATTTTGACGATTCTATAATTTTTCGAATTTGCAATTTTTGGGTTTTCCAATAATATATATTTAAAATAAATACTAGGAAAATTGCAAATCACAAGTTGAAGAAACTAAAAATTGAAAAATCGAGAAATTAAAAATTTTAAATTGAAAAAACGAAAAATTGACAAATCTAAAAACGCTCAAAACCGAAAAATTACAAATGGAAAAATTAACTCATGAATTGCAAGTCGAAAATTTGCAAAATTTCACAATAAAAAAAGTTTAAAAAATCAGAACAAAACAGAAAATTGCAAATCAAAAATTTGAAGAAACCAAAAATTTAAAAAATCGATATTGAAAAAACAAAAACTTACGAAATCGGAACATTGAAAAATTGAAAATTTGTAAAAATAAACACAATAAAAAGTCGAAACGTAAATGTCAATCGAAAATTTGAATAAGTGTAAAATTAGTGAATTAAAAAATTGAAACGTCGAAAAGTTTTAAAATCCTTTAAAATCCTAGTAATTAAAAATTGGAGAAATTATAAAATCGTGAAATTAAGTAAGTGAAAAATTAAAAAATACTCATTATTACATATTTAAAATGGAAACTAGATATAAGAATTGCGAATCAAAAACTGAAGAAACGAAAAATTGAAAAATGTTGAAACTGAAAAATCTAAAATTAAGAAAACGAAAAATTAAAAAATCTAAAAGTTGAAAAATCGAAAATTGAAAACCGAAAAATTGCAAATCGAATAGTCCAAACATTAAAAAATTTCAACTTGAAAAAAAGAAAAATCACAAAACAGGAACATAGAAAACCCAAAAAATTGAAAAAATAAAAAAGAAAATTGAAAAAATGAAAAATTGCAAAATCTAAAAATTAAAAAACATCCAAAAGTGGGAAAAAAAACTTGTAAAGTCCGTCTGTCGGGTGTCTGAATCCATTTTTATTAGACACCTAATCTTCGAAACTCCCGAACCTATTGTTGTCACATTTTATATGTACATACATTAGAAATATCATGTAGATGGTTAAATGCTAACCAAAATTTTGCTAATCATCCCCAGCTACAATTTGATGCCGTCATTTCAAAGAATTCTATGTTCATTTGATTTAATTGTTTTACTTACAACAATACATATAGTCGTATAAGTGTGGTGTACGAATCCGCTTTGAGTTTTTCCCTAGCCGTCCAAATTTTTGCAAAAACATAATGCACAGTATAATAACAGTTTACCACTATCGTAAGGCATCCCGGTCGTGGTATAGTGGTTACGAGTTAGGAATGCGGACTGGACGTCGCGCGTTCGATTCCAAACTTGACCTTTCGTTTTTTTTTTTTCTCCCTTTTTCTCTCGCATTGTGTATCATCTATATTTATGCCGTCATAACAGATTTTTTATTGGTGAAACTACCCCACTTTCTCGAAGAGTGAGAATACGCCCCATTTTATTTAAAAATGTAAAACCTCCTCGGAGGTCCCAAATGTGTTTTTTTAAGAATGTGAAACCTTCTCGATGGCTCCAAATGTCTTTTTTTAATGTGACACCTTCTCGGGGGGCCCAAATGTATTTTGTTAAGAATGTGAAACCTTCTTGGGAATCCCAACTGTCTTTTTTTAAGAATGTGAAACCTTCTCGGGGACCCTAAATGTCTTTTTTTAAGAATGTAAAACCTTCTCGGGAGCCCAAATGTAGTTTTTTTAAGAATGTGAAACCTTCTCGAGGGTCCCAAATGTATTTTTTTTTAATGTAAAACCTTCTCGGGGGCCCCAAATGTCTTTTCTTAAGAATGTGAAACCTTCTCGAGGGTTTCAAATGTCTTTTTTTTAATGTGAAATCTTCTCGTGGGTTCCAACTGGTGAAATTACCCCACTTTCTCGAAGAGTACATGCTAAGATAAAACTAATTTTGACAATTCACATACCTTCCAAAAAAATAGAGGGTGGGTGGGTGGGGCTAGTATTTGCCAAGATAAGATTGAATAATATTAAGAGTAGTCACTGGAATAAAGAGGGTGTGGGCGGGCCTACTATTTGTTTATAAAACTCGTTAGAAAAACCTAAACTCAACCCCGCCCACTTCTCGTCTCCATTGCACTGACTTACTTTATTTACTGTAAAATGTGAATTGAAATCTATTTTAACAAGCGGTAGAATCTAAGATTTAAAACAAAGTAAAATCAGGCCCCCTCCCACCCACCCTTATTCCGTTTTCAACAGACGTTTTTATTGGCTCTGAAGAAAGAATTTAACAAGTTTTCAATTTTCCAACTTTTGATTTTTTTTATATTTGGCAATTTTTCGGTTTTTTATTTTAGTTATTTTTTCAATTTTATTTTCTTCAGTTTCTCGTTTATTCAATTTTTCGAGTTTTCATTTTTAAATTTTTCGGTTTTTCTATGTTCCAATTTTTTGAATGTTCCGGTTTTTGGGATTTTGCAATTTTTCTATTTGCAATTTCTCGAGTTTTCAATTTTTAATTTCTAACTTTTTGGATTTTTGCAATTTTTCGGTTTTTTTTTTTCGTTATTGTTTCACTTACTCGATTTTTCAGTTTCCCGTTTCTTCAATTTTTTGATTTGCAATTTTTCAATTTTTCATTTTTTTTTGTTTCTTCATTTTTAAGATAGGCGACCCTTCGAGTTTTCATTTTTTAATTTCTCACTTTTTGGATTTTCGACTTGGAATTTTTCAATTTTTATTTTTTTATTTGTTAGTCCTTGCTAAGACTGATTTTAGCAAATCACATAGCCTCTAAGAAGAGAGAGGGAGGGTGGGCGGGCCTAGTACATGCTAAGATAAAACTAATTTTGGCAAATCACATACCTTCCAAGAAAACAGAGGGTGGGTGGGCGGGGCTAGTATTTGCCAAGATAAGATCGAATAATATTAAGAGTAGTCACTAGAATGAAGAGAGGGTCGGTGGGTGGAGTTACTGCTTGCTTATAAAACTCTTTTTAGAAAAACCTAAACTCAGCTCCGTCCATTTCTTGTCTCTTGCCTCTATTTTAACAAGCGGTAGAGTCTAAGATTTAAAACAAAGTAAAAAAAGGCCCCTCCCACCCACCTTTATTCCATTTACATCATTGATTTTTATAGGTTCTGGAGAAAGAATTTCACGAGTTTTCAATTTTCCATTATTTAATTTTAAAATTATAAAATCGACAGAAATATTGAAAAAATTAAGGAATTGTAAAAAGGAAAAAGAGTGTTACGAAATCGAGAAAATGAAAATAAAAAAATCGAGAATGTGAAAAACAAGAATCATGAACTTGAAAACAAAGAATTCTAATATCAAAAAATTGATGGAAGGTAAATACATTTCATTTATTTGAGCCACCTGTTTGAGCAAGTCTAAAAAAATTAATGTAGTGATAAATCACAAGTAAAAACTCATCATATTTTGCACATTTTGGGTAGAATTTATTCGCCAAAATTTTGACATGACATCACCATTTGGGGGGGGGGGAATAAACAGACATATTTTGATTAACAATTCACCATATTCACAATAACTTTAAACGTCTCCAAGGTTTCAAACTATTCAGTTTTGCAATTCTTGATTTATTTAATAAAATAAATTGACTGATTCATTTTTTTTTAATCACCCTGAAATAAGCAAATCAAAAAAATTGGTCGAAGATTATTTCGACAGAACTTCCGTCGCCTCGATTTTTTTCTTCAAATTTTCAATTCTTCAGTTTTTTTTTCTTCAAATTTTCGAGTTTTCAAGTTAAAAATTTTCGATTTTTTCAATTTTTCGGTTTTGCATTTTCGTCATTTTTTCACTTATTCGGTTTTTCCGTGTTTCGATTTTATTCTTTTGTTTTTTCAGTTTCTCGTTTCTTCAATTTTTCGATTTGCAATTTTTATTTTTTTTTTTTTTGTTTTTTCATTTTTAAGATATGCGACTCGAGTTTTTATTTCTAAATTTTTCAGCTTTTCGATGTTCCAATTTTTGGGTGTTTCAGTTTTCAGAATTTGCAATCTTTCTATTTGCAATTTCTCGACTTTTCAATTTTTAATTTCTCACTTTTTTTATTTAAAAATGTAAAACCTTCTCGGAGGTCCCAAATGTGTTTTTTTTTTAAGAATGTGAAACCTTCTCGATGGCTCCAAATGTCTTTTTTTAATGTGAAACCTTCTCGGGGGGGGGCAAATGTAGTTTTTTTAAGAATGTGAAACCTTCTCGGGGGTCCCAAATGTATTTTTTTTTTTAATGTAAAACCTTCTCGGGGGCCCCAAATGTCTTTTCTTAAGAATGTGAAACCTTCTCGAGGGCTTCAAATATCTTTTTTTTAATGTGAAACCTCCTCGTGGGTTCCAACTGTCTTTTTTAAAAATCTAAAACCTTCTTGGGGGCTCCAAATATCTTTTTTTATGGAAACATTCTCGGGGGGGGCTAAATGAATTTTTTTAAGAATGTGAAATCTTCGCGGGGCTCCCAACTGTCTTTTTTAAGAATGTGAAACCTTCTCGAGGGTTCCAAATTAATTAATTAATTTATTATTATTAATACAAACATAAGGATAGAGGTAGCAGTATCTGTTGGACTGTACTTCAGAAGCGAGGGAAGTTCTGTCGAAATAACTTTCGACCAATGTTAAAACTCTCTTCTATTTAAAAAAAAATGCATTGTCTAATTTAATTCAATTTTTTGGTGAACTCTTTCATTGTTCAAATATCAAGAAAATTGGAATAACGTGGCAACGTCGCATCGGAATTTCCTAAATAAACCGTGATTATGAAGCCTACAACGAGGTCAATAAACTATAATATGTAAAAATATAGTATTGTAGTAAAAAAAACTAGTTGCATTTTACGCCTCAAAAGCAAAACACTCTGTATAGTTAAAAATAATTTTGAATATTTTCATAAAAAGTTCCAAAGTAAACCAATACCATCTGTATTTTATGAATGCAGATTTTTTGTTGTTATTTTTTTTAATTTAAGTAAGTAAACAGACAAATTGTGATTGGTGTATCACGACAGTTTTAAAATATATTTAAAATTTCTATTTAGTATTCAACTTGTCAAAATTTTAACGGTAGTAACAATCACAGTAAACTTTGTTTTCCAGTTTCCACTGTTGAAACTACTTATATTTATTTTTAATTATATTTGTTACCTAACCATCATAAAAATAAAATCACTGACCCAGCACTAAACCGAAGAAATAAAGATAAGCAAAACGAATACAAGGAAAAAAAGGAGCAGATTACACAGCTTATCGAATAAATCCGTTGGGTTTTCCCAGTGGGTTTCACCCAAGATCATTGCTTTTTTTAACATAACCCCGACTAAATAACATACTCCGAAATAAAAATAAGCTGCCTGTTATCATCACAACTATTTTCGAAAAAAAAAACACCGAACAATTCAAATTAAATTACTCGTTACCTGTAGAAAGCAGTCTTCAAACTGCATGTGCACAGACCCCAATTCATGGAAACAACCGTTAATTTCCAAGAGTTTGCACACATCACGTTTAGCCATATAAGGCAATTCTCTAATACGCATTTTATTCGCAGCTATTAATTCTACAACTACAAACACCGACGAAAACTGAATCACAAAATTTTAAAGTTACACGATTGTTATGACAGCTGATTATGACTAGTCACATGTGGCACTCAAGGTCGCAAGTCCAGGCCACCAACACTACTCTCCAAAAACTAAAATTTCCCTACTACGTCGCCCGATTATTGTTTTTGAGGTTATGCTTTCGAAAGAGGTTTTGTTTGTGACATGCATTAAGCCAAACTCGTTCTTACGTGACCCTCTGCTCTCTCTGTGTCGTGGTCGTGGATTCACGGATAAAAGTTTCCGGCTAGGCAGTGGCGTAACAAAACATTACTACCCCCTCGAGTTACAATTTCCGTTGACTGGATTTAAAATAAAAAAGACAAAAATGGTGAAAGTGTGTTTTATGTGTAAAAGACCTTTCGAAAAAGCTTCGACGCGTTCGTACCACTTGTATGTATACATATACAGAGTGATCCACAAATACTACTAAGTTGGCAACAGCATTAACAGTTCTGAGAAATTTTTCTCGCGCTGCTGTTGCCGAACCTGGTAATAATTGATAACAAATTGTGTTTTATAGGTTTCCAAATGATGTGAGTCTACGACATGAATGGTTTAAGAAGTTAGGTGTTGAACCTACTGGAGCAAGATTCTTATACTTATGTTCGGATCATTTTACATCTGATAAATTTTTAATACGGCCGCAAGGTCGGCGAGTTTTAAGAAAAGACGCGACACCAGCGACCCCTGTTAGATCTCCTTCCCCGGCAACTTCTGCAACAACAGAAACTGCAAGTGAAGGTTCTCCAGGCACAACTGTGGAAGATGAACCTACTAATATTGAAACAATTACGATTGAATCTACTAAGATTGCACCTACTATAATTGAATCTACTAAGATTGACCCTAATGAGATTGAACCTATATTAAAGTCTGATTCTGGGTTTATATTAGTAATGACTACATCATTGTCGCCAGCTCCTTCCCCTACAGAGTCCGCAGGTGAAAACTGTGTTGATTTTGCAGAAGAGATTGAGATCACGGACTCTCCAATAAATGAAGTACAATTTCCCCAGGATCCAATATCACCTTCAACTACTATACAACACCAAGAAGAAATAATACATGTGGAAATGCAAAGTAACAATAAAGGAAGAAGAAAATTCAAAAAAGAAAGAACTATAGATGATATTGAAAATGATCTTGCTAAAGCGAGACAGATAATTATAACTCAGAGAAGAAAAAAGCTACTTTACGACAAGGAAACACTAGGCTAAAAAACAGGGTAGCGTGTTTAAATTCATTAATAAAATATCTAAAAAATAAATAACCAACAAATTATTCAAGCGTCGTTTTATTCCGTTCGATTTATTTACAACTTAAATTTAAATTAAATTACTTTTATCAAATTAATTCTTACGTTTCTTTACTTTGCTTAAGTGACTTAAATGCACAAAAATTGAAACACTTGTTTGATTAGAATGTTATTAACGAACGAGTTGGTTAGAAAATAAAAAATAAAGTATGCAACCAAGTATACTTTTTTGTCATTACATTTCTATGTCCCATTCTTCCGTTACAAAATCAAAATTGACAGATTACAGACAAAACAATACATGTTTGTCACCTGTCAAGTGTATGTTTGGTTACAATACTTAAACCATTTTTGTACCTACTTATCTGAATAAAATATGTAAAAAATTGAGAAAAAATGATAATCATAAACTTGCGAACTCATTACTGTAGATTTTTTTTATTTTGTGATGGATAAAATACAATAATGAAAAACCACACTTTTTCTTAAAGAATTAGACAAGACAGAAAATAGATGCTATGGTGTTCCTATTTAAAAATTAAATTTCGCGCTGAGAAAACAAAACAACGGCATGAAACCGCAGTTGAAAAATAAAAAGCATTCCTATAACGTAGGAAATCACCTTACGAGATTTTTCAATGTCACCCTATAGGATTTTTAATCATTCATTGTTCTAACGCGTCTTTACGACAATAATTAACGATATCTAAAGTTCTAGATGCCTTTATTATGATTTCATTTATGACAGTTAAACTAACCTTAAATGTTGATCCATTTTAGAAAAAGGACTTTGAAAATTATCATCAATTAAACTATTATTTTTGTGGACTCGAAATGGGAGGTGTATTTTATATTTATTTTGTTTTATATAATGTGTGATTTTCTTACGGCTTGAATTTGAACATTTATTCTCCTTACTTTAATTTTGATTCTGTTGTCAGTGGCGGCTCGTCCATGGGGTCAATTGTATATCGAGGAAACAGCAAAATGCCAGTATTAATAAGCAAAACAAGAAATAAAAAATTGTGGTGACCAAAATTTTGGTTTGTTTAGATTAGTTTTGAATATTTACATTTATATTTTATATTTTCCTTATTACACATTCTATTTTTTGTGTTTTTATCTGATGTGCCATTAACCTATGTTGTAGATGTAATATGGAGGATTAAAACATCATTATCACTATAAACGAAGAAAAATCCCTTGAAATATAAGGTGTAGATCGAATAATTTATAGAAGGAAAATAACAATTTATCTATTTTATCACCAACGGTTTAATAGATTTGTCGAAGAATTTAATGAGACAATAATATTGTCAATAATTAACAATATTAAGAGTAGTCACTAGAATGAAGAGGGGGTGGGTGGGCGTGCCTACTGCTTACCTATAAAAGACTCTCGGAAAAAATTAAACTTAGCCCCGCCCACCCACCCGTTCTCATTTTTTTTCTGAAATACAACAAAAAAGTTACGATTAACGCTTTTTTTACAGCCTAGTTTCTATCAGTTACTTACCACTCCCACTCTGCAGAAGAACATATAATAAACCCCGCCCACCCATCCGCCTCCATTTCGGTGATTAATTTTACATAAAAAAGTACTACCTTAATTGACGAGAAGAGAAGGGGAAACTTAAAATATGTTTATAATAATAAATTTTTGTAGAAAAATACGGATTTTGCAATTAAACTCCGCCCCTCTATCTGACAACGAGTAAAAAATTCATCACAATTGAGATAGGGGCGGCCCGCCTTAAATTGACACATTGAAAAAAATTGAACAGCCTGCGAAAAGTTCAAAAATTCAACATTTGGCTGGACCCCAAAGTTGAAAAACTACCCCAAATGAAACACCAAATATATGGCAGTGGAGGAAAAAAAATATTTGTTCCTCCACTGCCAAAAAAAAAGAAAAAAAAAGCTGCGACTAAATTGTGCTCAGCTCCAAAAAAAACTTTGAATAACTTGGAATAAAATAAAATTAAACGTTCTGAATCAATACAAATATTTGAATATCATAAATTTAATAAAAACAAAGCAAAATCCGAAGTAAAGTAACTAAGCTGAGCGAAGTTTGGGGCTCCTGGTCGCGACTGTTCTCCCCCCACGACGATGATTCTATCTATCTCGGCTATGGGGTAGAAGTCGACAGCGTTACGTCATCTCGATCGCCCCTGAATTCTATTCTAACCTGCATCTTTGTGCAGATGGCGCGATAAATCCCGCCAGCTTAAAGTCACTAGATCTATTATTACTTTTAGAAAGTACGGCAAATTGCTATGTGTTAAACAAAGATAGCGCGAGACTAGTAATTTTCGCTATCAAATGTAGGAACTGTCAAAAAAGTTTGATATGTTTACGATTTGAGGTTACGATAGACTGTACTAGAATTATCGAGTTAACGGACCGAAAAGAACACTATTCCAGTCCCAAAGTAACTCCAACCCTATACAACGAGAGAGCGTCACCGGTAACCGGCAAACAGTCGTAGAGGACGTGTTACCAGCAAAGCAATTGACAGCCAAATGACAGTAACAGGATCGCCATACTGGAAGCAAAAAAATACCTTGTGGCGAAAAGACGGGGCATAACAAAGACACAGTTATATTTCTATTTCATAAAAGTTACTAATTGCCACACACTTCCAAATCGAGTCACATTACGCCAGCTCGACTAGGAACCGCGCACTTCGCGTCCACCACATGTTTCTGCGTTATTTAACCTCAATTCCACTTATATGTTCAATTCTTATAATTCTGATATTAAACTGCAACTGAACAAGTGTCAAAGTTTCAAAAAGAGCAGTATACAACATTTAAATTCACCATACGATCTTGTGAAATTTTAAACAACAAATAATTCTTATTTGAGATTAAGATTGTACATCAGATAATTTATATGATGGAAACATTCATCAACAAAATATTTACAAAACAAAAAACTAGGAAAGATTTATAAAAACAAAATATCTGGTGTGAAATAAACTTGTGCAGATAGAAATTACGTGAGGTTAGAAACACAGGTTAGAAACAGCAGAGCATGAAAGTTTACGTTCAGTTTAAATTATACAACAAAGAAAATTACATGAGATTAATATTTGTCACACTTTATCAACGATTAAAATAAACAATTTACATATGTTCAATTATGCCACACTTTATCGACGATTCAAACAAAGAATTTATATGATGTTACATCATCCCATGATCCAAGTGATTGGTTACTTAAAACAATTTATTCTGAGGGTTTATATCGTGAACTGAAACCGATTCATAGCTTTGTTAAACAAAAGACCGAATCCTGACTAAGTGAATTTCATGACATCTCCTCACCAGTTAACGATTAAAGTCCTAACATCAACTGTGAATTTACAAACACTAAAACAAATTTACACAACGTGTTAGCGTCGATCGAAAGTTCGCATTTTTCCAATTAGAAGCTGGCATCGTCGTCGTTCCTCCCTTTTATTAACTACCAAACCAACTAAACTTAACACAGCTAACTCTAACTCAACCACGTGGTTTTCACTCACACCACACAACAGACACTGACCCTCTCTCCTCTCGCTACCAAGCCACCCTCTTCTAACAACCCTCTAACTAGCCATTACCAAGCAGAACTACCAACTACCTAAAAAGCGCCAACGTGCACATGGTTGCCTATGTTTAACGATTCTTTTTATTGTTTTGTTTTTCAAATTCGGTCACCACAGCACAGTGTACCAAGAAATTCAAAGGATAAGCCCCACCCACCCGTCCCATCTCAATTGTGATTAATCTTTTTCTCCTTAAATGGGACTTTTGTTTGACCTTGTATGGACACTTTGTGCATTCAGGCCATTTAATCTTTTTTCTTTAGCTTTGCAGGGGCACCGCTTGCACATTTTCTTACAACTTGAATTTGAACATTTATTCTCCTTACTTTAATTTTGACCGCATTTTATTGCTTTGGTGCCTGTTGTCAGTGGCGGTTCGTCCATGGGATCAATTGTATATTGAGGAAACAGCAAAATGGCAAAGGTATTAATAACAAAAACAAGAAATAAAAAATTGTGGTGACCAAAATTCAAATCAAATGTCAAATATAAACAACCCGCCAGTGTAGCCAACAGTAAGTTGTTTAAAAAAAAATGATCAAAGACAGCCACTAATTTTTGAAAGTTTGTCTTTGAGCATTTGCAACTCAAACATTAAAATTGACAGTGGTTTGACAACACAAAAACCATGGCTGTCTTTGCTCGTGTTTTTTATTACTCTCTAAATAATAAAGAAAACGCTGCAAAGAAATTTGATTTATTACAATTTTGAACACTATCTTACATCAGAATTTTTTTGATATACTCTTTCTCTGAATGGTGCGTCCTCACATGGCTCTTTAAATGCGACTTTTGTTTCCCCTTGTATGGACACTCTTTGCATTCATACCATTTAATATTGTCGTCGTCCAAATGAACGTTTCTTACATGCTGCTTTAAATATCTTTTTTCTTTAGCTTTGTATGGGCATTGCTTACATTCGTACCACTCAATGTCATTTTCGTCCAAATGCAACGTAAATATGTGCCGTTTTAAATTCCGTTTTTCTTTAGCTTTATATGGACACTTTTTGCATTCATACCACTTAGTGTTTTGGTCATCCACATGGTGTATAATCACGTGCCTACTTAAAGATGTTGTGTACTTGGTTTTAAAAGGGCAATTTTTACACTTGTGCCACTGAATGTCCTTTTCTTCCAAGTGGTGTATTTTTACGTGAGTTCTTAAATTAGAATTCTGTTTAGATTTGTATGGGCACTTTGCACACTTGTACCACTTAATACTGTGTGTATCCATGTGTTTATTTTTTATGTGGTCCTTTAAATATTGCTTTTGCTTCGTTTTATATTGGCACTTCTCACACTGAAATGGCATTACTTCGTCATTCATGTGTTTCGCAATTTCGTGTATCTTCAATAAATAGTCGTATTTGAATTTCATCCCAGTGCTCATAATTTCGTGTTTTGATTCATTTTTTGAACACGTTGTGGTATGTTGAAGCCATTTCAGTGAAAAGTGTGTCTCAAAACCGCACTTTTCACACACGTAGCTTTTCACGTTCCTTCCCTGGACTGATAAATCCCCATTTTCTCTTTTAAAGTGGTGACACTTTTCGATGTGTTGTCTCAAAATAAGTGTTAATTCTGTTTGAAAAGGGCAATACGTGCAGTCAAATGACTTAATTGTTGCGTGTTCACAGTTGAAGCCTGAAAAGTATGAGAAAACTTTACAATTATAGTCACTGTTGGGGGATTTCAAACAACCATCGAACTTCTTGAGGTATTCAACACCTGACATTTTGGTACACCTAAACTAATTACGTAACCTTTATTACTATTAAGCTAGTCCTTTCTTCCTACTTAATTTTCAAATTATCAAAATTTGAAGATTTTGTTTGGGAGATTTCGGACATAACCTCAAAATGTTAAGGAACTTTTCGTTTTTGAGGGTGGTAAAAAAATACAAAGTCCCTACACAAAAGAATGCGCATTTTGTGTAAAACGGACATTAATAAATGAAAATTTGGGCTTGTTTTTTAAAAAACGTCGGGCTGTTCACAAAATAAATCGAAAATATAAGCAGCTGTACAGGTTGGTCTCAATATTGTATTGTTGGTTGCCTATACTGAAATTTAATTTTCTTTTTGTAAAATTTTGATGAATGAAAGCAGTCAAGTCAACAAAATATTCACGAATACAATTTCATATTATTGAAGCCAACTCAAGATTAAAAAACAAATATTTAACAGACGCTTTTTTCATTCATACTGTACTATTTACCACCTTCTTCCATATGTGGCAAATTTATATGAACTTTTAAAACATATTTCCTCCTACTTTTAGATGAACACTGTTCACATCTATACCATTTAATCCTGTTCTTCCGTATGATGCACACTTATATGGTTGTTTAGCTTTATATGGACACTTTTCACACTTATACCACTTAATATCCTGTTCGTCCAAATTAAACTCGAATGTGACTTACCCCTAGAGGAACAACTACCACACTCATACCATTTAATATTTTCTCCTTCTGCATGCTGCCTATTAATTATCCACTCACGATCTTTATATAGTAAAGTAGGCTTTGATATTTTTGCTTTAAGTTGGATAAACTGATTTGATGATTTAGTTTTTTGTCTGTCAAGAGTCTCACTGACAATTGCTTTCAGCTGGATTGCCACTTTTCTACTTCATTTATTAGATCAGAATTATTAGACGGAATTTTTTAAGCAAGCAAACAAATGTTTTAATTTTGTCAGCATAGATAATTTGTGATTGTGACAGATTCACAGATCATTGCGACATTATTTAAAAAGAAAATGCCTAAAATAGTTTTACTGCAACAAAAAATTGCAAAAAAAAGATATTTTTTGTAGTTTCGAAAAGACAGGCCCGATCTTTCTTTCGAAGAAGTAACTATGAGGGTCTCGAACATATTTTCTGTAATGTGAAAATAGGTACGCTGTAAAATATTTTTTAATTTTTTTTCTCATGGGTGGGAACATCAACTGTGGCGAAAATTTTATCAACAGGGGACTAAAATTTAAAAACATCACTATCTGGCAAGCGAAAACCAACGGATTTATTTACAAATTATATGTCTCGGAAAGACCTGCAACGACAAATTTGGCAACTTAATGAAAAAAACGAATATTTCACTGTAGATACTCTTTTGGTATATTCTAGGGAACAGTTGGAATTTAAAGGGGGGCGAACCACATTATACAAAATTCTTAAGTCAATGGGTCATAAACACAGGGAAGTAAATGGTCGCAAAATTCTATGTGAACAAAAACATGTCGTTGCAGCCAAAATTACTTTTTTGAGAACATATTTACAGTTTCTAAATTCTTGGAAAAATTTGACTTTCGTATATTTGGATGAAACATGGATCTATCAAAATAGTTCGTCCATTCGTCGCTGGGTGCACGATACTGATCTAAAAAGCAATCCCACCAAAATTAAAAGTGAAGGATCAAGGTTTACTATTCTCCACGCGGGTTGTTCAACGGGGTTCTTGGATGGTTGTAATAATTTTTTAAATTCAAAAAATAATGATAGAGATTATCATAAAACGATGGACAGGACAATTTTTCAAAATTGGGTGGTTAATAAGCTCATTCCTGCTCTGGCAAAATAGAACCAAAAATGTGTGGTGGTTTTAGACAATGCACCGTATCATTCGGTTCAGTTGGATAAATCACCCACTTTTTCTAGTAAAAAATGTGAAATGTAAAAATGGCTCTTTAAAAATAGTGTTGAATTTGACAAAAAATTTTCGAAGAAACAGTTGTGGGATTTAATTAAACCCTTCAGAAACAATAGAAAAAAAAGGTATTTGGTAGACGAGACATTAAGAGAAAGTGGGCATGAAGTTTTTAGATTATCTCAGTACCATTGTCAATATAATCAAATAGGAGGATTTTGTAAGAACTATTACAACAAGCATAACCTTAATTAAAAAATATGGCTTGAGGCGCTTTTTAAATGTACTTCAAGCATGTAACATTTTTGTAAACATTGTGAAAAACTTATTTTGGCAGATTGGGAAAAAATATGGGAAATCTTTCGTACGAATCTATACCTCCTTTCATTATTTCGCTAGGTGGATCTGATTCAGAATCTGAATTTGAAAATGACGGTGATGATACAGATTTTCATAGCGGAATAATGGAAATGGAGTGAATTGTAGCTTGTCGGGGGGTGATATTTTTACGCATCTTTCGTTCTAAATTTACCAAGGTAGTATGTAGGTAGTATGTGAAAAACTACCTCACGTACAACAAAATAAGTATAATTTTAATTAGATCATCCACGTTGTTACTTTGCACCAAATTTTAAGCATTTTCATTTTTTTTGTAACTCTTCATGGACCTGGAGAAGGCGTATAGTAACGTTCTTATTAATAAGCGTTTGGAAATACTTAGTAAACGCAAATAAAGAGCACTTACGTAAGCATTAGTAATAGTTATATAGATAAATCATTCAATTTAAGGCCAGAAAAATGTTTCAGAAGAGCTAAACTCATCAAAGCACTAGAGCAAGCTTGATGTCTTTTACCAATCTTTTTAGTATTCTTAGAAAAGTGAAAAAAGAAGTTGTAAGATATTGAAATAGGCTGTTCACAAAGGTCGAAATTTCCATTTCTAAGAAGAGTGGGCGAGCAGAACGAACTGATGATTGAGAATTAAAGATGAGATGCTAAATGTGGCATGCGACAATAGTCGTACGTAGAACCCCCATTCATATAAAAAAAATGTTTAAGTGAAATTTTAGTGTTTGTTCCTTACATATGAAATAAACACTTACAAAAAGCCGAATGACTGTTTTAAATAGCGTAAAGTTTTATGCTTTCTAAGAAATGGATACCGTTAACTTGGTCATTGCTATTGAAAACTGAAAGTATCGGCAACAATGTTTATAGTTCTGGCATATTTGTTAACTTTTAATTTAATAAAACATAACTTAACGAAAAAAGTTCAGGGAATTTTTATTCTTCTGCATCGAATACCAACAAACTCACTAGATTTTCATGGCCAACCCTACTATATAAAGATCGTGAACGGATAATATGGGCAAAACCAGAGATTTCTTAGTAACCTAGATATGGTGATCCTATGCAAAAGCGAACATACGTTCTTGGCCAACATGTACACTATGCGTTTTGCTTTCCATCTTCTTTTACAGCATGGGAACGCAGGAGTATGATTTTGTAGGTCTTTGTTTAAACCTAGCAATTTACGATTTTGCGCAGTAAACCCTTAAATTCTGCTAGCGCAAGTCGGTTCTTAATTCATACAATCGCCGGTGCTTGTGTGTTTGTTAGTTTGTTCTAAGAGATTTCTTAGGTTATAAGATTTATATCACGGTTATAAGTTTAAATTGCATAGAATTTCTACAAATGGGTTACAGAGTGTGTGTTGTATGCAAAGAAAGATCTAATAATTATTTTGTTTCGCAAAAATATTACAAAGATTTTTAATAATCCCGACATGAACAATCATTGCATTTCTCAGGGATTACTAGATAACAACAAAATACAATTGATGAAGGCAATAGCGCAAATGTATTTAAAAGTCCGCTTGCATCACGAAGCAAAACTGGTAAATTTTGCTTCAAAACAGGCGAGAATAAGAAGTAAATTAGTAAAATACATTTTATTTAATAATGAGTAACTAAGATTACATTAAATCACCAATATTTAATAATAATGTTAATAAATTTATACCACAGCTGTACGTCTTTTTTCTTTTTCGTTTTAAGCTCTCAACATTGTGCATGCAAATAAATACAATACGATTCTCTATTTATGTTAGAAACGTTCGTGGCAACAAAAACTTTTGACTATAAGAAAATTGTATTATGTCATTTTTCAAGAGTTTCGCCGGTGTGAATGATAAAGAAAAAGTACGAAAAAAGGGAAGTCGACAGTCAAATTTATTCCAACGGTCTTGTCGGTGTAATATTTTAATCTTAACATTACAAATCATTTTGGAGATTGCTTAGAAACTTTTCGTTTGCCACTTGTTAAAAAACTCGAGTTTTGATTCTCTTTTATACCATTTTAAATCAGTGCGCCAAATTATCAACCAATGTTAACAGTCGCTAGAATTAGAAGAAGATAACACTAGTATGTAGTGTACATTACAACGAGTAAGAGAAAGACAGACAACTGAAAGTATGCCGACACTATTTTCATACATGTTCTTCCACACTTTGCTGCTCATAGCCATATCTAGGTTACTAAGAAATCTCTGGGCAAAACTTACAACGAAGGGGATTATACAACCAAGTGAACTGCTCTGAGTACTCCAAAAACGACATTTTGCGTGATTTAGAAACATTTTATATATATTACTATCATAATTGTGTTTTTTCGTACCTACGTTTGGTGTGGTATAATTAAAATCGGCGAAATACTGATAAATTAAAAAAACAGTCGTAACATAACCTCAAAGTTATCCGTATCCCCTGTAATGTAGGCAACCAATTCGTCACTGTGCTATTGTTATACCATGGCCGACTAGTATAAAGATTATGGCCTGTCCAAAGGAATGTCAAAGGTACATTACGTGCTGCCATCTATTAATAATTCAAAAACGACAAAAGAATTATTAACACCTTTTGAAAGCCACAAAGGCATTCATACCGAAACAAACCACCATTACACGTTTTGAAGTCCTATAATGTCAAGTCAAATTAAAATTTTGCTAAATTATTAAGTGTAATTATTAATAGATGGCAACACGTATCGTACCTCTTGGACAGGCCATAATCTTTATACTAGTCGGCCATGGTTATACAAAATTTGATTATTATTATTATTCAAATTGCTAAAACTTAAACCTCGTTTACTATATTAAATTGTAAAACGAAATTTATTTCAATGCGAAAACTGTTTTAAATACACTTGGCAAACTAAAATTAAATTGAACATAGACACAGTATTCTCTTGCAAATAAAAATAGACAACAAAAACGTTGTTGGAACTCTTCTTAATTCCCTCCTTCACGCTCACGCTGATTCGGAGGTGCGATTTGAAGTGTTCGTTGAGCTCTATTTGGAAATTGCAGTTCTTGCAGAATAAATTACTGCAAGGACTGCAATTTCTGAACAGAACTAACAATTGACGGCGGTGGCAGAAATCGTGGGAACTGTGGACAAAATTTTCGTTCTAAGTACACTTGGAAATAGAATCCACGTGGGCAAACTTAATCGAAAAATTCCAAAGTCGGCATTCTCGCTTGACTACATATGTTTTTCTGTATAGTAGGGCGTCGTATATGTGTCTTTGTTTACTTCAAATTTGCAAAAAATCGTCAGACGAGCAATAAATTGTAAAAAATTCAGTCATCGAAACATAACCTCAAAACGGAAATTCATAACTGGGGTTTTTAGACTAATAATGGATTTAGTGGTGCCGGTTTTGTTAAAAAAAGGCCGTTTGTAGCGTTGACCAAATGGAAATTCTCTGATTTAAGCTGCCGTTCTAATTTAATTGATAACTTACATTTAGACATTGTTACTTGTCATCGAGGAATCGGAAATGAATATGAAATGACAATTGACAAATGAATGCGTAGTATAGGCAACCGGCATTTAAGATTTGACTGGGTAATGTTGAAATTGACCATAGGCGTCTCACAATACAGTTAAATCCATAAGGTTGTAACCACTCGTTAAATTGTAAGGTTGGCATTACAGCCAATGGTGTTTTTCACATGAACAGATTGGTAACGGCGCATGTGTCAAAATTTGACAATTACGCATGAGAGAGTTTTATTTAAATATCTCACAGTTTGTTATTAAACCATATCATTGAAAAATGGTACCAACACGGCATATTGTGATAAATAAGCAGATGAAAATGGCACTTGCCAACTGCCACAATGAATTGAAACTTGCTTATCCCTAAGCATCGTCCCGAGAACTTGAATTCAAGCTTGCAAAATTTTTTCAGTATGTAGTTGTTCTTATACCATGGAAAGAGAGTACTATACTATGAGAGTAACGTATCGACATTCGGAACTTTTTCCATGTTATTACAACACGGTGGTCTGTCGAAGGACTTTTAGTTTTAACTACCTCAAGTTGAAAGTGTATATCTCGCTTTTTAGTACAACATTGTCTTTTCATGTTTTATACCCACTCTTTATATCCTACACAATACAACTAAATGTCCCTCATTAAATTCAAACACTGCATAAACTTTCCGACTTTCCCTGTAAACTTATCATTAATTCGTATCCTTTTCATAGTGTTCCCGATGTCAAGCCCACAAAATTATAACCCAACACCAATCTGGAGAACCGTTACAAGAAGCAAAGTGGAAACCAAAACAAAAATCGCAGTGGTATTCAAATTTGGAATTTAAAGATCTAACCTACCGTATATTTGACAAAAACAAAAAAAAATGAGTTTTTTACTCTTCAGGATTTGTTTATTTTTGCGAAAGAACATCCAGAATATACAGCAAGTTTAAATACTTTACATTGAGTATTAAAATCCATGGGATCCAGATCTAAGAAAGTTAACAACAGAAAAATAATTGCTTTTTGGTTATTTGGTCTATGTGTTCCCAATGTTTCTAACCACTCCTGTAACAGTTAGTTTAAATAAGCAGTCAAATTATTTTCAACATACGTATTATTTTAGCCTCTGAATTTTGTGAAGTTCCATTTTGTTCATTATTACCACTAAAATCCTCAGGACGGAGGAGCATAGCCAGACCTATTGCCTTCAACCAAATTCCTTGTACACTTTGTAAATAATAAGTAGTACCAAATATTAGAGTTATTAAAGATAACGTTAAAGACTTGTTGGTGTCCCATTTTTTTGATGAAAAATTGGTCATCCGTTGCGACTAATTAAGGTGATCTACCCATTATAGACAATTTTGGTGTTGCTCGCGAAATTGATCATTTCAGCCGAGAGAGCTGGTCCTTCGAGTCATATCATATCATAGTTAGCCACACATATAATTATCACGTATACTCATGTACAATAATTTAAACAAATTCTGAATATCTCAGTTATTCCCCATCTGTAAAGTAATTTTTATGAAGCAGCAACAATAAATAAATCAATTCACCTTGTTTTTTTACCAACCCAACATTTGATTTCATTCGTGACCACAATATTTTTGGCTTCATTTTATCGTAATTCGTAAACGTATCAACTGCAAGTCTAAATTACAGGAGGTGGCATTCTTCTTTCTACAAATGAAAGATAAAACACGTTTCTATTTATCGTTGCTCTTGTATCATAATTACCATGAAGACTCAGGTTATCCTGTTTTCACTGAAAATTGTTTATCAATTTTTACAATATTGCGACAAGTTACAATGATAATTATGAAATAACCTGTGCAGGAGTGCAAGAATTGCAGTGAAGTCGAACGTAATCATGTGTCGCGAATACATGAATGAACTGACATTATATTGACAGGTCACCAGATATGTCACCAGGCTACTAAAAGACAGATTTACACTGAATAATTTTTTAAAATTTACACTAGGGAGTGGTTACAACCTTATGGATTTGAGTTTACACAATTTTCAGCTCCAAAAAAGTCCTTTTAAATTCTCACAGGTCTGTTTAATTTCAAGAGAGAAGTATACTTTCCCGAATGTAAGTTTTTTTTTTATATACAACTTGTAAAAATGTGGTTAATATTACATCAAAATATGTTTCGCAATAAAAGAATTAGTCGCAACACCAACTTTGAAAACTGAAACCATTTTGATAATGTTGCTGTTCGGCGAAATTTTGCGAAATTCTTCTATCTATGAAAAAAACACCTTGAAAAATTAGAAGTGGGGAAAAGTAATAAACGTAATTTGACAGAAGTTCATATTTTTATAGTAATTCTACGGCGACATTAAAAGTTAAGTCAGTCTAATGGATTTGTCGTGCACTTAAGCGATCAAATGTAAAATAAACTAATTTTATACAGTTAATATTATTTTAGGAAAAGAAGACGACTGGGTATGTTTTCCATGTTTTAGCGTTCAAAAAATTTCAGAAAGTAACTTCTTAAGTTTTCTCTTGTGATTTCGAGCGTTTTTGGTAGTCCGCGGGCTAGAAAATACCTAGGAAATCTTCAAATTTTAGCTACAAATCATATTTTGTCGAAATTTAGAAGTTCTGAGCTACATTTTGACTTATTTTGACGATTCTGAATATTTTAACGCACTTGCGATATTCAGAATCGATTTATTTCGCGAAAAGGAGACGACTGTAAAAATATATTATTACGAATAAACTCATGCGTTGCCCCGGTACGATGTCTATGGGTTTTCTCGCGGGTTTTTAGTATGTACTGCGATAATAGCGCCCGGACGGCGTCCGCTAAAGAAAAGCCTGGAAGCGGAAGTCGCGATGGGTACTGCAGAAAAACCTCGATCGTGGGATATCTAGGAGGGAAAGGTGAGTTTAAATAGAGGCCACCTTTCTTTCAACATGATACTAAAATATGTTTTACTTTTTTTATTTTTTGAAGAGAAATATAAACTCAATTAAGCTCCGCCCCTCGTCTCACAACGAATACAATATTAAGCACAGTTGAGATGGAGGATAAGCCCCACCCATCCTCCCTCATCTCAATTGTGATTAATTTTTTTATTCGTCGTATTGAAAAGTTTATATTTCTTTATAAGAAATTACCATGTGAAACTAATTTTAAGTATCGTGTTGTTGAAAGAAAACCATATATATATTTAGAAAAAGATGCCGAAGAATTTGCCCCACCCTCCCATCCCAGTCCCAATTGTATTTAATTTTTTATTCATTGTGAGCCCAGAGGACGGAACGATGCTTAAAAAATGTTTCATGTGGTAATTTCTTGAAGAGAAATATCAAAGAAATATCAATTAAGCTCCGCCCCCCGTCTTACAACGAATACAATATCAACCACAGTTGAGATGGGGGATAAATCCCACCCACCCGCCCCCATCTCAATTATGATTAATTTTTTTATTGGTCTTCAGACGGGAGGCGGGGCTTAATTGAAAAGTTTATATTTCTCTATAAAAAATTACCACGTGAAACATGTTTGATGGATCGTGTTGTTAATAGAAAACTATATATATATTTAAAAATCCCCGCCCCGACGATTCCAATTGTAATAAATTTTGTATTGGTTGTGATAAAATGAAAAAACTATTGCGAACTTAATAAAAGAAAGCACAATCATTTAGTATCACTCGGTATTTTAATTTTTATAGACAATTTATTCTGGGAAAATTTATTGTTTCATTTGAATTACTTTATTCAAAAATTGTTTTTAGCGCGATATTTTTAGTTTGTTATCTCAAGTAGAAGAATTGTTGTTTTTAAGTTAGTATCTTGTCATTAATGTGTAACAATGTATGTGTCCTATTTTTTTCTTACCGAAGAAGCGAATGGCTGCTTCTTGTTTTCTCGACGTTTCATGACCAAAATAACTGCTCCTGTACTTGTGGTTTATGAATCTACTTTGATTTTATTTTTTTAAAACCGTCTTGTTCTTTGGACATATAATGCAAATCTCCAGAAGCACAATCGTGGTCTAGTGGTAGCGCGCCCAGTTCGCAGATGAATGGTCTGGGAATCAATGTCGGATTTCAGCTTTTTTATTTATCAAATATTAAGTTAATATTAGATTGCACCTACTCAAATTGATACAAGTGTCCTTGCTTATAGCTTTTCGGCCTGTCTGTCTGTTGGTAATTATATTAGACAGAAAATCTCCGAAGCTACTAGACTGATTGTTGTCAAATTTTAGACGTAAACAACATGGTACATACATATCAATCTATTGTAATAAATATAAAAATTTAATTCGCAGCTACTATTATTGAAAATTTGTAATCTCTAATAATAGAAACTCGACAACTAGCAATGGTAATAAAATCTAAAAATTCTTGACAATATTGAAATAGTTATTTTGTGATCTTGTTTCCGCGATCACACAGAGAAGTTCTAACCTTCAAGACCTTTCAGTGGTAGGAATCACCACTATTTTCACAAGCAAAGTAGCTGACGACCTGCGAAACCAGTGCCCTGTGTAGAGCTTCGGATTCTCCCAGCTGCAAGATGCATAGTATCTGTAGTACCAACATTGGATTGTCAGTTTTCATAAATTTCCAAAGCAAATTCGTAGAATGATGCGTCCTAGCGTTTAAAGGCCAACAGAACTGGTATGTTACGATGAGATTGCAAAAATTATTTTCAGTTTGGTCGGAAAATTGCACATTTTCGGGATTAATTTAATAATATTATTTAAACAAATTGAATTGAGTTTTATATCTTTATCTTTGTAGGAAAACGGTTTTAGGTTTAATTATGATATTTACAGTACAGATAATGGTAACTATGTTTAAATATTGTTTATTATGTCATGATAATTTCTCATTGTTTTATATTTGTCAAATATATGAATCACAGACCCCGATAAATTAAAACTCAAATCGTACTTATCCCGTTTTCACACTTTTTGGAAAAAATGAAAAATATCCACTTTCTTCGTGTTCACAGCACTAACGTAAAACATTTTCACTAATACTTATTTGTTAACAATAAATTAGAAATTCGCGAATACGTGCTACTTTTAAGCCAAAACGGAGCTCCGAGTGCTCTGATGTTGCTGCCAAAATCAACACTGATACAAAGGATCGAAAAACTCTATCTTTACTCAGATGGCTCACATGAC